ATTTGACATCTGACAGGAAACGTCATTTAGACGTATAGGGGATTATCACGCTTCCGGGTTTCATGGGCGGGATTTGTCAACTTTGTGCATGTCCACTTCCGACGCAGTTCAACAATGGCTGAGACGAAGGCTATATATATGTCACTGCTCTGTTCCACTTTCTAAATCTATGTACGTACGTAAGTTTTCATGGATTACCGACTGAATGGAGTATAAGGAAGAACTGGATTAAAACTCTAAAATAAAACAAGGTAGCACGTTTTTTTGCAGCCGGCACTTTAGTGAATCAGACTAATTTACCAGGGATGCCTTATAGTTGGGGGCCTTAAGCACATAAATAGGTAATTTCGCGCAAATTCATCTAAAAGCGCCAAATTTGGCACAGATGTAGCTCAGGTCATACTGAAATGATTTAGCTAGGGCGCCGGAGCCAGCGACCCTCGGGGCCAAGATGGCGGCCAAATCCAATATGGCCGCTGCCCGAAAAGGGTTCCGGCTATAACTTTTGAACCACATGAGTTACAAATACAAACTTAAAATGTTTTTCACCTTAATTGATCATGGGAAACACATAGAAATGTTTATATTTATGACCCAGTATATCTGGACCCCTTGATCCTCCAATTCCAATATGGCCGCTGTCCAAAAAAGCAGTTTGGGCTGTAGAATGGGGCCTTACATCCCATTGTTCGCGTAAATTCATATACAAGCACCAAATTTGGCACAGATGTAGCTCAGGTCATACTGAAATGATTTAGCCAGGGCGCCCAAGCCAATGGTCCCTGAGACCAAGATGGCGGCCAAATCCAATATGGCCGCCGTCTGAAAGGGATTCGACTATAGCTTTTGAGCCAGATGAGATATAAATACAAACTTGATGTCTATTTTACCTTTTCTGGCTATGGGAAACCCATATGAATACTTACATTTATGATTGAGTATATCAGGACCCCCCAAATTTCCTAAATACAATATGGCCGCTGTCCGAAAAAGGGTTTTGGCTACAAATTTTGAACCAAATGCGCTACAAATGAGGATGTGGTGTCTATTTTATGTTTATTGATCACAGGAAGTCCACTGGCATATTTATATTTATGCTTGTGTAAGTCTGGAACCTGTATTCTTTTCAAGACTGTGGTTGAAAATCCTTTTTTTATCACAAATTTGAAGGTTATTTTCAATGTTGATTAATTTCCTTATAAAAGCCAAATGCTTTTCAGTGTACCACAGGTGAATAAATTTCAAAGTGTAATCATATAAGAAAGAATAATACACATTATTATTGCAAGGAAAAAAATATATTGTCAGATTGTTAAAAGAATAATATAATCAATTTGTCCAAAACTCTTAAAGGTTTACTTAGCATAACAAAAAAACAGCAATAACAAGAAAAAACAACAGTGAATTCTCATGGTCTCTCACATGAATTATCATTATAATCACCGGATCTCTCATCGTCTCCACCATCATTGTTTGTACAACACCCTCACATGCACATATAGAAGTGCAACAAACTCCGGCTTTACAGCACTCGCAGTGCCCTCTACATGCTGTCTTGAGGTTACAGTGGAGGAGATATGGTGCAGGCTTTGACTCCAAGATTAGTCCAGTAAGGTTCCCAAGTCTTGCTTGTAGAGTCCAGATACCATCCCCATGCATTGAAATCTGGGATATCTTGCTGGACAGCGGTTGCCTGATTCCTGTAGAAGCTGGCCTGCAGCAGTGCTCTTTTGATGTGCTGAATAAGTGCAGCTTGGGTGGGAGGCAGGTTCTCGTACCAGGTACGAGAGAAAATGGCAGGTACCATTCGAGAAAAAGTGATGTCTAGCTTCATTTACACGGCTGGAACCACAGCTCTTGCTGTACATTATGATGACCATACGCTCCAGTCTTTGGACATCATTGTTGATCTCTTCAGGCTCTAAGGTAAGGGTAACCAGGGATTCTGTGAGATCTGGTGTTGCCTCCCAAGCTGCCCATGCACTCTTTTTCCCATGGCCCAGGCTGAGGTTGTGTCACAGCCTGTTAAAGCGTGGAAGAGTGGTTAGGCCAGTAACTTCTGGGGACCAAGATCCTTGCTGATTTCATGAGCAGGAATGTCCCTATAGTTGTTTACACTTGCAAAGCCGATCCAGAGCTCTGTGATGCCGAGTGTGTGGAAGAAGCGGATGGGAAGGATGACAACATCGCTGTCGACAGTCCGGACAAATGCCTTTTTATGGCCATTGGGCATGGGCAGCTTGGGAGGAAACACCAGATCTCACAGAATCCCTGGTTACCCTTACCTTAGAGCCTGAAGAGATCAACAATGACGTCCATGTCCAAAGACTGGAGAGTATGGTCATCATCATGTACAGCAAGAGCTGTGGTTCCAGCCGTGTAGATGAAGCTAGACATCACCTTTTCTCGAATGGTACCAAGTCTCTCGAGAACCTGCCTCCCACCCAAGCTGCACTGATTCAGCACATCAAAAGAGCACTGCTACAAGCAAGCTTCCAGCCCATTCTCATCCCAAGGCGTCATCTAACTGAAGCCTTGGGAAGCATTTTGACCATGCTTCAATATCTGACGCTTTAGGCACCCTTTAGTGTCAGTTAGATGACGCCCTAGGATCTCGTCTAACCCTTACCCTACCCCAGACCTAAACCTAACCGCGTCATTTACCTCACGCTTTACCTTTAGCATCAGTTACATAACGCCCTAGGATCGCGTCATGTAACTGACGCTAAAGGGTGCCTAAAGCGTCAGATATTGAAGCATGGTCAGTTAGATGATGCCTTGGGATGAGAATTGGCTAGAAGCTGGCTTGCAGCAGTGCCGCTGTCCAGCAAGATATCCAAGATTTCAATGCATGGGGATGGTATCTGGACTCTACGAGCAAGACTTGGGAACCTTACTGGACTAATCTTGGAGTCAAAGCCTGCACCATATCTCCTCCACTGTGACTGCAAGACAGCATGTAGAGGGCACTGCAAGTGCTGTAAAGCCGGAGTTCGTTGCACTTCTATATGTGCATGTGAGGGTGTTGTGCAAACAATGATGGTGGAGACGATGAGAGATCCGGTGATTATAATGATAATTATAATGATAATAAATTATAATAATTGAACATGTGTGAGACCATGAGAATTCACTGTTGTTTTTTCATGTTATTGCTATTTTTTTGTTACGCTAAGCAAACCATTAAGAGTTTAAGGGAAATTTACTATATTATTCTTTTAACAATTTGACAATATAAATATTTACTTGCAATAATAATGTTTATTATTCTTTCTTAAATGATTACACTTTGAAATGTATTCACCTGTAGTACACTGAAAAGCATTTCACTTTTATAAGGAAATTAATCAACATTGAGAATAACCTTCAAAGTTGTGATAAAAAAAGGATTTTCAACCACAGTCTTGAAAAGAATACAGGTTCCAGACTTACACAAGCATAAATATAAATATGCCAGTGGACTTCCTGTGATCAATAAACATAAAATAGACACCACATCCTCATTTGTAGCACATTTGGTTCAAAATTTGTTGCCAAAACCCTTTTTCGGACAGCAGCCATATTGGGGAGTCCTGATATACCCAAACATATATGTAAGTATTCCTATGGGTTTCCCATATCCATAAAAGGTAAAATAGACATCAAGTTTGTATTTATATCTCATCTGGCTCAAAAGCTATAGTCGAATCCATTTTAGGTGGTGGCCATATTGGATTTAGGGAATTTGGGGGGTCCTGAAAGCGATTTTTTTTTTTTGAAAAAAAAATATTGTGTCCTGATATACCCAATCATAAATGTAAGTATTCATATGGGTTTCCCATAGCCAGAAAAGGTAAAATAGACATCAAGTTTGTATTTATATCTCATCTGGCTCAAAAGCTATAGTCGAATCCCTTTCAGACGGCGGCCATATTGGATTTGGCCGCCATCTTGGTCTCAGGGACCATTGGCTTGGGCGCCCTGGCTAAATCATTTCAGTATGACCTGAGCTACATCTGTGCCAAATTTGGTGCTTGTATATGAATTTACGCGAACAATGGGATGTAAGGCCCCATTCTACAGCCCAAACTGCTTTTTTGGACAGCGGCCATATTGGAATTGGAGGATCAAGGGGTCCAGATATACTGGGTCATAAATATAAACATTTCTATGTGTTTCCCATGATCAATTAAGGTGAAAAACATTTTAAGTTTGTATTTGTAACTCATGTGGTTCAAAAGTTATAGCCGGAACCCTTTTCGGGCAGCGGCCATATTGGATTTGGCCGCCATCTTGGCCCCGAGGGTCGCTGGCTCCGGCGCCCTAGCTAAATCATTTCAGTATGACCTGAGCTACATCTGTGCCAAATTTGGCGCTTTTAGATGAATTTGCGCGAAAATGTGCTTAAGGCCCCCAACTATTATAAATAAACATAGTGTAGTCCGTCATCAGTTCGCCAGCGAGATCGGTGATTCAACGGAAGTGGCAGTGCACAAAGATCACTGAATCCGGAAGTCCTGCGTATCAGCGTGATAATCCCCTATTGCAGATGAGCAAACACTCTTTAAAATACGTCTTCCAGATGTAAATAGACTTGTGCTATCTGATATTTAGGCAACTTTCTGTCTACTTTTTTTATACTGTGAACTCAGACTTATTTTGTCAAATATTGTTACACATATTTTTCGCCTTCTATTGCAGGGAAGCATTCGATTTCAACCCAGATAGTCTATTTGATGTAATTTTTACATCTGGAAGATGTATTTTTAAGAGTGTTTGCTCATTTGCAATAGTCTATAGGACGTTTCCTGTCAGATGTCAATTTAACGTCTATTTGACATGACAGGAGCAAACACTCTTAAAAATACGTCTTCCAGATGTAAAAATCACATCAAATAGACTGTGCTATCTGGGAAACGCAGCCTTCTTCTTGGTGAACCGATTCAAATGAATCGGTTATTATGATGAATCCAAATCAGGCAGAGCAACTGAAAGGGTTAACGTATAGTCGTTTCCTGGTTGGAGGCAAGGGCGTGTTATTGTCTAGACTCCAGAGGAAGCTGTCAAGTTTCTCTTTCAAAGCAGTATCGGCTCAATCACCTACAACACCTCAGTGTGGGGTGAATGAGAAGCGCACACGGGACAATAACGTCACTGCTCTCTGACTGTTGCTCCTTTAAATATTGCATAACGCGAGATGCTGCTATGCGAACGACCAGCTGATATTTCATAGCTAACGGCGGCCTGATGGAGGGGACGATTGCGGATCTGAAAACATCTTAGCACCGCAAATCGGACACGGAAGGGATCAAGCTATCCAGACGACATTTCACCAGCGGTTTGCTCTGCATTGGTAAGGGAAATATCGTTTCATTTCGCACGGCACCGCGCCTGTGGTGATTGTTGTTTACTCGGCGCGTTTCTCGTGCGAACAAAACAACCAGACTGTTTTTTCCCCCTCGGTTTATTTACAGCAGAACGAGGGTTTTTTTTTGCGTATAAAGGAGTAAACTGAGAGGATGGCAGGCCCTGATTCCCCGCAGCAGGTTGAAGAGAGCGCCGAGCAGATCGATGACGCCGAGCTGGCGTTTCAAGGCATCAATATGCTTCTCAATAATGGCTTCAAAGAAAGCGACGAGCTCTTCAAGAGATACAGGTAACTTAAGATTAATATGAACTGTGATTTTATTATGTGTATTATAAAATGGGCCTTGTTTGCATAAGTTACATGGGAGACAAATTATTTGGCCAGCCCTTTCTATTTCTATTCATTTTAATATAACCAAAATATTGGACATGCCTCAAGGCTACAAATGAACACTGATTTTTCCAGCTTTAAACATCACCACCATCAATTAAACAATTGTTTGTCCTAAACACACACACACACACCAATAAATTTGCATACATTTAAGTCAAATATATCACTCCTGAATCTTCTGTTTTTGTTACCATAATTTGGAACATTTCTCACTTTCAGTACATTAAAGAAATACCAAAATTCATAGTATTTATTTATACAAAAGGTTACAGGGTTGAATTGTTGTGCTTCTTGGATTAATTAATCTTTAAAGAGTTATTATAGTTAACTAAAAGTAAAACCATAAAAAATGTCAACTGAGATAAAATAAAAACAAACCCTGCTTTATGTCAACATTTGTCAATACTGAAACTAAAATTGAAACTATTAAAAAAAACCTACCGAAACTGACAAATAAACCAATATAAAAATGAAACATAATTCTACATTTTAATACGAGCCATAATAGTATGCCAAATATAATAACATAACACTGGTAAATAAATACTTAAAGTAGCTTTTTATTACAATAATAAGAATATCAATTCAATATATTGTTAATAGTTTTATGATTATAATTGTTGGATACAGTCAAGGTGGAATGATCCAAAATCCCCATTTTAAAGGGGATACTGACTTTTGACCAGTGTTCAGTGAACATTGTTATTTTTTTTTACAGAATAGTTTATCAAACATAGGCTATTTAATAAGTCTTACAACCTCAAATGCTTTTTAAAAAATAAGGATAATGCAGCCAAACCTTCTCGTGAGAACATAGACACCTCTTTGTCTACATCAAATACATAAATTGTTTGGTACATACTAAATGAATGGCTGTTTGCCTGGTTGATGTAGCCCTAGGCATGGGCGCCAACATTCACAATAACATGGACTGATAATGTACATACACAGAGGTGGAAAGATATAAATCACCTTTTTGAGTGGAAAGGCCTATTTTTTGTATCTATTTGACTTGTTGCTGATTTGCAGATGGTTAATAATAGATCAAATGTTAAACGAATGCATTAAAACTGAAGAAATATGGTACATCATTATTTTCGAAGCCCGAGGGTTTAAATATCATAAGAAACTGCTACTTAAGACATTCTTAAGGATACAGATAATCATGGATATTAGGTTTAATGCTATTAGGAGCTTAGTGCTTTGGCTTTATGTGCTGTAATTCCTTGTTTAATGTGAAATTTAATCTTATGAGCAAGTCTGCACAGAGTTACGCATCATTCACAAAGTTCTACACATCCCTGCCACTTGTATAAATTCAATATTAATTAATAATTCATATGAATTAGTATTCATTTTTGTTTTGCTTATATATATATAATTTATTTTCTGGAATATTTAATGTTTTTAAGAGTTTTTTTAGTTTCATTACCTAAGGTTTGTGATATCGCATGATTCCTTATTTTGTCTGCAGGACCCACAGTCCTCTGATGAGCTTCGGTGCCAGTTTTGTCAGCTTCCTGGTAAGTGAACTCCATTAAAAGACTTTTAGGGGCTATTTACACGACACGCTTTTTATCCGTTTTGTCCGTTCGTCTACACGACAACATTCATTTTGGAGCTTGAAAATGCTAACTTTTGTAAATGGGTTTCAAAGTGCACATTTGTGAAAACGATACTGGTATTGTTTCCGTGTAAACTACAAAAACACGAATTTGTGAAAACGGTGAAATCATGTGCATGAACTATGTTCAGTCTATAGGGGCGTAGTGTTTCTTTACAAAGTGTCATTGCCAACCACTGGCCTGGCATGAATAAAACCTTGTTTGTAGTCGTTTTTGCTAGATTTTAACATTTTTAGTGTATCGTTGTCGTGTGAACGTACCCTAATTAGGCCATGTGTCCACCAAAGCGCTTTTCCACGCACCTGGCGTATGTTTTCTTTTGTTTTCAATGGGAGCGCCGCGTTTCTTAAACGCCATGAGCGTAACGAATCGCTTTTTTTTTTTCCACGCTGAAGCGACAAGCGCCCAGCGTTTTTTACTGGTCGCCGAGAGTTGAAAAATGTTCAATTTAGGATGAAACGCAGCGCTCATCACGGTCACTTTTTACCCACCCGTCCAATCACAGTGGAGGAGGGGCGGGACTAAACCACAACCACCAACTGTCACAACATTTTTTCTGTACGACGACATCAACCAGCAGTAGCTCTGAACAAAATGGATGAAAAATACATTTTTAGTATGAAACTAATTATCTGCGAAATCAGTTACAAGTAAACTGTGCTGCGTATATTCTGTATCATAGCAACGAAACGTCTCAATGGAAAAATACGCTGGTGGACACACGGCCTTAGCTTGGCAAATAATTGGCTGAAAGTAATACTAGCAACAACTCTGCAGTTTATGAAACTCTTGCAGTTTAGCTCAAACTTGCCCAGAACATTAGCCACTGCTAGTTTTACCGCTAACTCTGTATGTATTGGGGCAAGGATCCAGCTGTTTAACAACGCATGCCGAGAAAAACAAAATGAATGGCTGTACTGGTAACATTAGCTGTACAGCCCAAGGTTGTTTTCTTGTCTAATTAGTTTGACATCAGCCCATCATTACTAGTCCATCTGTCATATGACACAGTCAGCAAATGCTCTCATTCATACTCCAACCACAGTGCTGTTTCCTGCAGCGCTGCTCTCGTTTCATTCTGGCCATTAATAGGAGTGAGAGGACAGGAAGTGAAATACTGGAAGAAAGACATTTGTATTCTATTGTTTTTATTTGATGGGAGAGTAGCAAATAAGTGTTTTAAATTTAAACTGTTTTATAAGATTCAATTTTTTGAAGTGATTTTTTATTTTATTTCATAGAAAATAATAGCAAATATTGTTTTTATTTAGATTTTAAGTGAAATTATTTTATTTTAATTTATTCAAAAAAAAAATTCATTTTGTATGAGAAAAGCATATATTTTTTTAAAGGATTTAATTTTATTTTTTTATGAGCACAGCACATTGTTTTCAATTTTATTCTATGTTTTTATAGGATGTTTTTCCCCGAAAGTGACATTTCTATTCTTAAAAGGGGGTAAACCTAAAATTCTCGGGACAGCAGCATTTGTCCAAATTTCAATCTAAACAGTTCTATTTAATCAGAAATGATCTTTAAAACAGAGCATAAAATACCGAACTAACCCTTTAATGTAATAATGGTAATGTGTGGAATATGGGAATAGCACACTATACTTTACTTAGCATGCATGGAAAACCCAAAAGGCTAAATGTTTATTGTTGTTTAATGGCATTATTGTTATTGTTGTTTAGTGTTGTTTAATGGTTTCCGATTCTATTTTTTTAAAGTAGTAGGCGGTGTTCAGTGTTTTACTGTGCGGTGTCAAGTACACTATACAAACGAAGCATGAGTTTCTCCTCAAGAGTTGAGGAACAGACCTTGTCACAACCTCTTATGTCAAGGCTGGTGCCTCAGGTTGTGAATTTTTATTTTGTCATTATGATGTCACTTACTGACCAGTATTGTACGTCACTATACAGAAAAAAAAAAGATCTGTCACGGCTTCCATTTTACCAAGACTTTAAGAAAAGGCCATTTGTTGGGACTATCTGTTCTGCATGTTTCAACTGACTTCCAACAATGATAATACCATTTTTGTCATGTTTTAAGAAGCTCTTCCTGTTATGGAAAGTAACGGTGTAACTATTGAGGGGTGTGTACACATTTTGGTGTCCTATCTTCTCATTTAGATTCCATTCCATTTTTAGTGTAAATCTTTTTCTGAAGATGAAAGAGGTTTAAGTTGGTTCTTGTGTAGAGTTATGTTATAAGGAAGCCCCACTGTCTTTGACTTTGAAAACCCTTGTTTTAGTATGATTCATTCTTTCTAAATATAGCTATTCAGGTCATCTGGTGAAAATGATTGCAGAAAAAACAAATAGTTTTTTCCAACATTGTGCAGCCCTAATATTCGTATGATCGTAGAACGCCATGATGACGTTTGAGGAGGAAAAAATGCAGATGGCCAGCGATGACCTGAGGACTACTGAAAAACTTTGCGAGAGCGAAAACACCGGCGTCATCGAGACCATCCGCAACAAAATCAAGAAGAGCGTGAGTTTGTTTGTTTGAGTGTGTGTGGATGGAATGAAGATTCCTCACATTCAAATTCTTCACACATTTGTGCTTTTCATCTTGGTGACAGATGGACTCACAGAGATCTGTGGCTATTGTGGATCGTCTTCAGAGACAGATCATCGTGGCTGACTGCCAGGTTTATCTCGCCGTGCTGTCCTTCGTCAAACAGGAACTCTCAGGTGGATGTTTACGTTTTACATTCGAAAAACCAGCTTGAAAATTTGCATGCAAACATCTAGAGTTGTTTTTTGGGCGGGGGTTAAACAAGGATGAACAAACTTGAAATATTACAGAGTATAGAAGTGCAGATGTGATTTTTTTAAACCATAGAACATTTTAAACATTTATTTATGTAATCGTTTTTTAAATTATATTTGAAAATGATTTATAATCATTTATAATACTCATAATTATTATTGAGAAATGAATACTAAGAAAATTATGATTTTTTTTTATTACTTTAAGTGTGCACAGATTTGGATTATTAAAAACAATTCGGGATGTCACCAAAATATTAGAAGGCTCAATCATGCTATTGTTATTATTTTTTTAGTGCTGTCAAACAATTCAAATATTTAATCGCGATTTAATCGCGGCTTGCAAGCCCAAACAACCGTGTGCGGCGTGGCTGTTGTTTTGTTTCCGGTCTAGCTAGATCCACTTGCACTTTGTTCGACGAAACAACAAAACGTCCATGCTGTGTCCTGTTGAAAAGCATGTGAAAACTACAAAGTTTGCTAGCCCAAAAAGACCATAAATCGCGCGATAAATAAATTGACGCTGTTAAAATGGGTTTGCGTTAACGCCGCTAATAACGCGTTTAACTGACAGCCCTATTATTTTTGTATTATTATTTATTGTACTTAATTGAATTTCCTTCATTTTATATTGTTACTTGGGAAATTATTTTTTTTTATTTAATTATACACAAATTAACATTATTTAAAACAATTCGGCTTGTCACCAAAAAAGGCTTAATAATCCTGTAGAACATTGAGTTTTAGAGTTGTAAACACATTTACTTTTAATTTAAAGTCGGCGTGAAACGGAAGTTGAGATTGTAATTTTTTTCTTGTTGTGACGTATATCCGAGTGAAACGGCTTCTGAAATGAGAAAAAAATGTAGGGCAGGGCTTAATTTCGTCCTTCGGGAATTGATTCAATCGTTTGAGGTTGGGCATGGATACAAAATGGAGGCAGATTTGAATGCGATTCTCTGATAGGCGGTTCACCGATAGCCGCACCCTCATCGGATCTGGTCGCACCCTTTCGCCATTCCACGTGACCGAAATAGAAGAGAGGTCGTTTCGATGGGGGAGGAAAGGGTAATGTCTTTGATTAAAGATTATAAGGGTACATGAATTTTTTAAAAATAATGAAGTGCACAGATAAATAATTTATAATAAACACTACAGTATTACATATAAAAAGAACAGATTTGTCAAATTTGATTTCATGCCGACTTTAACGTTGCTATGACCTGTCGCCCTTCAGCATACATCAAAGGAGGCTGGATCCTCCGTAAGGCCTGGAAAATGTACAACAAATGCTACAGCGACATCAGCCAACTGCAGGAAGCCTGCCGGAGACGGTCCTCCGACCAGGAGGGGGCGCTGGCCTCTGATCAAGCCAATCAAAACACATCAACCGAAAGTGGCGGCCGGGTAACCGAAGAGGTTCTGGATCGCCTGAAGGGTTCCGTCAGCTTTGGCTATGGGCTCTTTCACTTGTGTATTTCGATGGTGCCTCCTCACCTGCTCAAAATTGTCAACCTACTGGGCTTCCCTGGAGACCGTCACCAAGGTCTTGCCTCCTTAGCATACGCCAGCGAGAGCAAAGATATGAAAGCACCACTCGCCACGTAAGCAAACATTTTTTTGGTATTTTCACACCTTAGCAGTGACAATCCTGCTTTTGACGTGATTTTATGCTTGCTTGTTAGCATTTGTGGAAATGTTTTGCGCTTGTATGGCAGACTAAAATCCCTCGCTCATGATGTGCTGTGCAGTGACGTGTATTCATGAGCACATGCTGTCACACCGTTAAACTGGTTTCACACTGGGGTTACATAATTGATGGCATCTGAAAGGTCAATTAGAGATAAAGGCCATTAGAGGGAAAGGCCATCTGAGCATGTGCAAGCAAATGCTAGCACAGACTCATCTACTCATTACCACTGAACATAATTATGGCTTTTTTAAATAATTGAACTGGAAAATGATTTAATTTTTAATTGAAATGTTATCAAAAAAGCAGATGATACTGTATTTTGAAGCCAGTTATCAACAGACGTTTAAAATGGGTGAAAAAAAAAATGCTATAGACTTAAAGGTCTTCCATAAAGTCCATTATAAAGCACTACCATCATAACACCTTTGAAATGGTCTAGCAACCACATTGCAACATCTTTGCAACTATCTAGTATAATGAAAGTGAGTACTTAACAAGCACATAGCAACGCTCTGGCAACCACCTAGCATTATTAGTGGCAAGACCTTCAACAACATTTTATGAACCACCTAGCAACAGCCTAGCAACCACCCAGAAAAATCTAGCAACCACATTGCAACATCCTTGCAACTATCTAGTATAATGAAAGTGAGTGCTTAACAAGCACATAGCAATGCCCTGGCAACCACCTAGCATTATTAGTGGCAAAGACCTTCAATAACATTATGAACCACCTAGCAACCGCCCAGAAAAATCTAGCAGCCACATTGCAACATCCTTGCAACTATCCACAATGCCCTAGTATAATGACCGTGTGTACTTAACAAGCACATAGCAACGCCCTGGAAACCACCAACAACATCTTATGAACCACCTAGCAACAGCATAGCAACCACCTATAACTCCCTAGAAAAGGCTTAAAAATCTAGCTACCACATAGTAACGCAAGACCATCCATAACACTTTCCTATAGCTCAAACGGTGGAGCGTTTGCTCCTGTAACGCCAAAGTCATGGGTTCGATTCCCAGGGAAAGCATGAATTGATGCGTCTGCCAAATGCATAAATGTAAATTTAACTCCTTATCAACCACCTAGCAACCTCCCAGAACAATCTAGCTTCCACAAAGCAACACACTGGCAACCATCCACAACACCCAAGAAACATGGCAATTCGTACAGTAAAATTTTCATAAAATCGAAGAAACTAGTTCATTTTGATTTGTTTTTAAGAGGTTAGATTTCATTCATGAGCTACTATTAACTACATTGAACTGAATTGCTCTTAAGCTTTTTTTCCACTTCTCTGAGATGCATTGTTCTCAGTTGTTGTTCATGGCCAGGGGCTGACAGATTGCGGAGCAGCTCTAATAATAGAGATGAATTTAAGCATACTTAATCCAGCCTGGGACAAACCCTCCCAAATTGCTCTTCAGATGAATAGATGCTGTTTTTTTCGAGTCGACTTCGCTGTAGCATTTGTACAAACCAAATATATAAGCAAACACAACTAATAAACATCCAAACTGTGTTGTTATGTATACGCTCACTTCTTTTCTCATGTTATCTCTCTCAGTTTGGCTCTCTTGTGGTACCACACTGTAGTGCAGCCCTTCTTTGCCCTGGACGGCTCTGATTCGCGCGCGGGGCTCCTGGAGGCTAAAGCCATTCTGCAGAAGAAGGCAATGGTCTACCCAAACTCCTCTCTCTTCATCTTCTTCAGGGGACGGGTGCAGAGATTAGAGGTGGGCATTCATTCGCATCACTGTTTCATTAGAGCTGACGCTTGGTGCTTGATAATCCATTGACATGATCAAATATTTAAAATAATAGTGCAGTTTATTCTTCCAGGATATTCAATTACTATGCAAACACTGCAATTACTTTCTTTTAGTGGATGTGTTTGATGCAGTGGAAACCATTTAACGAGGATTGCGGAAGTTCTGAAATTTTTTTTACCGCTACTGACACCAGTGGCCGTTAGAGAAACTGCAGCCAGTCTCATGCTCGTTCTCGGGGCACACGCTCACACGCTCGTTGGGCGCACTAGATAAGGCTTTTTTTTACTTGCGAGGAGTTTCCATGGGTATCTGGTTTGTGCTGGAGGCTAAGTCCCAAGTAGACGAGAACGTGCATGACGTCACATTTTGTGAATTTTCGCGCCAACTCGGACCAACTCCTCCACACACAATTGAACCTACAGACTGATGGAGGCAACCGTGGTGGACAGTCAAGGTGTCATTCTTTCTAGTACATTATGGTTGGCTCATAATTGTGCAAATGAAGACTCTATCTTAAAGATTTTTTTAAAGTAAAAACCTACACATAGCCCCTTTAATATTAAAACTCTCGAAAACAAAGAGAAAAAAAATTCTATTGATACAAGATGATACAGTGTTTCACGTGTCACGAGTTAAATCACGATTCATGGCACATTATTATACACAATAATTATTCATAGACATAATTGTATCTCGAATACAGATGATACACTGCCTACAATGCCTAATTATATATATATATATATATATATATATAGTGCTGTCAAACGATTAAAATATTTAATCGCGATTATTCGCATTAATGTCATAGTTAACTTGATTTATTTTTGCCCCATTCTTTTTTTTTTCTCATTTTAATGCTCTTATCAACATGGAAAAGTGTGTGCATAATATATATATATATATATATTTACATATATACACACAAACTTTTTTGATAGATGCGATTAATCGCGATTAATCGATTTGATACTATATGTATCTTTTTATTTCTTTTTCAGTGCCAAATCAACAGTGCGCTGGCGTCATTTCAGGATGCTTTGGAGTTCGCCTCAGACCAAAGAGAGATTCAACACGTGTGCCTCTATGAAATCGGTACAAATTCGTAGTTGCCTTTCTTTTTAGATGGAACAGAATCGGTGCTCGCAAAGTATAATGAAGTAATATGATTAAATTTCGAACTGCCATTTTAGAAAAAGAAATATGCATTTAGAAAAACATGCACTTAATCGTATGTACAAAGTTTCTGACCAATTAATATTTCAGTGTTTCATGTATCATTTCATTTGCAGGCTGGTGCAGCATGATAGAGATGAACTTTGAAGATGCCTTCAGGTCTTTTGAGCGACTGAAGAATGAATCCCGATGGTCGCAGTGTTACTATGCTTACCTCACTGGAGGTCAGATTATGTTCTCTGTCAAACTCTCTCCAACGTCTATTTAAAATAACCATTTTAATGAAAGCTTTTACGTCTCAACCCAAAGTATGTCAGGGGGCTTCTGGTGATCTAGAGGGAGCCAAAGCTGTTTTTCGAGATGTCCAGAAGCTTTTTAAACGCAAGAACAATCAGATTGAGCAGTTTGCACTGAAAAGAGTGAGTTAATAAGCCTTTTTACAATAATTTATTAATCATAATATTTTTTAAATAAAGTTATTATAAGTAAAAAAAAGAAAAGAAATTGTTTATATATAAACTCAAACTCATAATTACTATAATTTACTGTAAATTGTATATATATATATAATTGTAATTTTTGCAATTTATAATATACAAATATTTGTTATATTAATAAGAAATTATTAATGCTTAGCTTACGTAAATAATATTGAATGCATAAACCTTTTTGCGTATTGATCTATTTGTTTATTATATAGTATTTTCTAATAATTTATTTTTACAATTATAGTTATCAGCTAAAGTTTTATATATATATACGTAAGCTCTTAACTATAATTACTACATTTCTCACACACACACATTATTTTTTTGTATAAAGATATAAGATGTGTATAAAAATATAAATATATACTGTATATGTGTTATATTAGAATTTATTAATAATAAATGAATTACATTTATGTAAATATTGAATCTATAAACAATTTTGATTGTTTATTATATAGAATATTTTAATTATTTATTTATTTTTGTATGATAACCATACAACACTAACTATAATTTATAAATATTATGTTTCTCTCCATCACACACACATACATAAATATATACATAATTAGCTATACTTATGTAAATATATTGAATGTATAAACAATGTTTTATGTTTGTGTATATTAATTTTTTTTACAATCATAGTTTGATTTTTTTTTTTTTAGTTTGAACTCGTAACTAATTTTTTTTATATTAATAATTATGTTAGTATTGTATAAGCATTTTTATTTATTTTAATTTTATTATTAGTTATTTCTAAACCTTTTTTTTTTTCAACTTTTTGTCCCACTAGGCAGAGAAACTGAGGAAAGTCCCGCTTACTCGAGAGCTTTGCATTCTGGGTATTGTGGAGGTGCTATACTTATGGAAAGCTCTTCCAAACTGCTCTTCCTCCAAACTCCAGCTTATGAACCAAGGTAAAGAGAACCGTGACTTAAAGCGAGATGGAATGCATCCTGTCAGTCAGCTCTGAACCTCTCTTCCCTCATTATAACACTGATCTTGATGCTGTATTCAGTGCTACAGGGACTGGATGACCCCTCAAGCCTGGGCCTAAAACACCTGCTGCTTGGTGCTATCCAGAAATGTCTTGGAAATATTAAAGATGCTGTTCAGGTTTGTTCAGTCACATCAGGTTTGTGCATGCAAACTAAGGTCATTTACCTATACATGTCTTAAAGGTACAGTAACAGAACAGACATATTTGATGCTGAGGATCAGTGAGAGGAAGGAAAATGTCTTAAAATAGATTCTTATTACCAAAAACAGTTTACTAATAGAGTTCAGGGGACAAATGTTACAAAATGCAGAAGATGGCAAGCTTAAACAATGTTTCGGAATGATCTGGCTCAGGTTTAATCTTGTTTATCCGCTCACATAGAGTGCTTAATACTGATTTGGTTTTATTTTGTTTGTAGTCGTTCCAGCTGGCAGCGCAGGATGAATACGGCCGTCTGAATAACAGTTACGTGCAGCCATATTCCTGCTACGAGCTGGGCTGCGTGTTACTGGCTAAACCTGAGGTAAATGACATTCAGAATCAATTTATTCTCCGTTTGAAGGCACTATATTTAAGTGTTTCTGAATCTCTCAGTTTGGATTTTTACTATTTCTTTATATGCTCAATATTTTGTATTCATTTATTACATAATTATTTGTTTATATATATATATATATATATATATATGTATCAGCTTGAAACATGCTTAGCAATATGTTCTAGCAACACTCTAGCAACCACCTACCAAACATACAATTCCTACTGAAAACCTTCAAACCGATATCGATACTGTTATTGATATCAGTGCATCCCTACTGAAAACCTTTAAACCGATATTGATACTGTTATTGATATCGGTGCATCCCTACTGAAAACCTGTAAACCGATATTGATACTGTTATTGATATCGGTGCATCCCTACTGAAAACCTCCAAACCGATATTGATACTGTTATTGATATCGGTGCATCCCTACTGAAAACCTGTAAACCGATATTGATACTGTTATTGATATCGGTGCATCCCTACTGAAAACCTCCAAACCGATATTGATACTGTTATTGATATCGGTGCATCCCTACTGAAAACCTGTAAACCGATATTGATACTGTTATTGATATCGGTGCATCCCTACTGAAAACCTCCAAACCGATATTGATACTGTTATTGATATCAGTGCATCCCTGCTGAAAACCTTTAAACCGATATTGATACTGTTATTGATATCAGTGCATCCCTGCTGAAAACCTTTAAACCGATATTGATACTGTTATTGATATCGGTGCATCCCTACTGAAAACCTCCAAACCGATATTGATACTGTTATTGATATCAGTGCATCCCTGCTGAAAACCTTTAAACCGATATCGATACTTTTATTGATATCGGTGCATCCCTACTGAAAACCTTTAAACCGATATTGATACTGTTATTGATATCGGTGCATCCCTACTGAAAACCTCCAAACCGATATTGATACTGTTATTGATATCAGTGCATCCCTACTGAAAACCTTTAAACCGATATTGATACTGTTATTGATATCGGTGCATCCCTACTGAAAACCTTTAAACCGATATTGATACTGTTATTGATATCGGTGCATCCCTACTGAAAATCTTTAAACCGATATTGATACTGTTATTGATATCAGTGCATCCCTACTGAAAACCTCCAAACCGATATTGATACTGTTATTGATATCAGTGCATCCCTACTGAAAACCTCCAAACCGATATTGATACTGTTATTGATATCAGTGCATCCCTGCTGAAAACCTTTAAACCGATATTGATACTGTTATTGATATCGGTACATCCCTACTGAAAATCTTTAAACCGATATTGATACTGTTATTGATATCGGTGCATCCCTACTGAAAACTTTTAAACTTAAGTCTTTAAACATTTTTTTAAATAACCGCTAACATGAATGAATCTCATGATGCGTCTCTTATTTATTCTTTATAAGCCAGCTAGAAGTTTAATAAAATACAGTGAAATTAAATTAAATTGGGATTGATATTGTGCATTTGTGATTTAAATTATAAAATATATCTTTTCTAAATGTACTTACTATTGTTTTTTTCGCCCTAAGACTCTAAGTAAGGGAAGATCATTACTGCTTCAGGCCAAGGTAAGTCCATGACTGTCAGCGATTTTAGTATCTTGAATACGTCAGTATTTTGAAATTAAATGGTGACTACCTTTGCTTTATAGGAGAACTACACCGGGTACGACTTTGAGAACAGACTGCATGTTCGTATCCATTCTGCCCTCGCCTCCATAAAGGAAGTGGTGCCTCACTGACCCAGTCCGACCTCCAAGTACACCATATTTTGACCACTCCTGTCCAGCACTTTTCGAAACGAAAGCCATTTAAAGTAATGCTTTTCTGGAGGGAGAAACCAAAAGTCAGTGGACTTCAGCTGACAGAGGACGTGTTCGCCAATATTTTTCCGCCTAGTATTGAATCACTGTTCATGTAGCTGTTAATCCCAATGATCTCGAATTTTCACGTTCACGTTTACACCCACATCATAGTGCAGATACACAGATTTTATGTGTTCAGGATTGATCGGAAGTGCAAAAAAACGTAACTCACAAAGAAACATGATAAATCGAGTAATCATACAAAATACTTTAGCATGGGATAGAACATAGATAACATTAACACATAAAATTAAAAATGTATTGTGTAACGCTTTAACCCTTTAATAAATAAGAGTACCTTACCTATATGTCAAATCAAGATTGTATGCACCATTATGAAGTCGAGTGATCGACCGATATGAGACTGAAATGTGTAATTGTTAATTTATTATTATTGTTGAGCCCAATTTCAGTAAAATCTAAAAACTGATTTTACATTATTTCTTTAAAAAAATTGTAAAGAATTATTTGTTTTTCTACCAGTCAAATTTGGAATAATAATAATTTTTTTGTTTTTAAATATTCAGCAAGGCTGCATTTGAACATAAAATACAGTAATATTGTGAAATAATATTACAATTGAAAATAACTGTTTTCTATTTGAATCAATTTAAAAATATAATTTATTTCTGAGATGCAAAGCTGAATTTTCAACTATCAGCATCTTCAGGGTTACATGATCCTTCAGAAATCATTCTAATGTGCTGATTTGTTGCTTAAGAAACATTTCTTATCATTTCTTATTAAATAATTTTTTTCTTCCAAGCATGACAAAATGGTCAAATATTGGTCGTTGAATAGGTCTGGCATATACATATATATATATAGCGTTATGTCACTAGTCTAGTCTACTCACTAGTCTACGTTTACAGGTTAAAATGCGTTACATTCAAAGTTGGCTGTTTTCGTTGTATATATTGCAAAGTTTTAACACTAGGGTTGACGATTACAAAGGGGTCACAAGGCCTAAATTACGTCAGGCTTCCTCTGGTGATGCTAGAACATAGATTTGACTAATTTAATCTCATCTGTACCTCTGTGTATTAAGTTTGAGAACAGCAGCATCTTTGCCATAACTTTCCATCTCTTGTCCTCTGCTGGACAGCAGACATTTTCTGAAGTGAAAACCATGCACAACTACCTACTGGTCTTCCTCTGGGCCAGAGGAGGGCATTTCATTTTGGTCCTTGGTTTTTACAAACTGTATGTTGTATTTGTGTTTTTGTGCCAGATGTTCTGTAATAATATTTTTGGCCCAAGCTTATTTTTTGTAGACTTTTAACAGCACATCAGTATCTCCTTTTGATGATGTCGCCTCTAAATAACTTGGAATAATTTTGAGTGTGTGTATATATTGTGAAATTGTTGTGAAATTTGCACCACCTTATTTTCTTGGCCCCATAGATGTAATACATCTGTCCCTTCAGTGGACTTTATTCACTACTGTACATGATTCTCTATGGAAAAATCCCCTCTGGTCTCTCTGTCAGTAACTCGATCTGAAGCTCTAAACATGTCTTCACTGTGAAAAGTGTCAATATTGGATGTTCAGGGTATTTATACCTTGTGAGGACAAAAGAATTAGGAAATTTCAATAATAAAATAACGAAACTTGCAATCAAACACTGAAGATGTGTGTTTATTGACAATATCTAACCTGCAGGAGTTTGCAGAGCTCAAATGGTAAGTTCTACTCCAGTTCTATTTTCCCTAAAAAAAAATTCCAGCTATTAAAGCCACACATGCACTCTCTGATTTTTTTGTAAAACAGTGACCTCTAGAGCCGCTGTGATGTACTTGCACTCTCGTAAATAACCGTTTTACTGCATACCTACTGAACTACTGTCAAGTTTTAGACTACTTTATAATAATAAAGTTGCCTATCGCGTTTGCTGGCTTATAATATTTTTACATGATTTCTGCTAAATCACAAGTAGATAGCCTATAGTGTATAATATTAATGTATTATTTAATTTGTGTTTTTTGAGTTTAATGTAAACATTACAAAATGTCAGATGACATCAATAAAGTTAAATATACGTCGCATTATTTCATAACATTGGCCGTTAAGATTTCATTAGACATGATTGACATAATAGTTAGCAAATTGTGTTCAATTACACTATTTACAACCTCTAGACTTGTGTCCTAATAATTACGTGAGATATTGACTATGTTCTCATGATAATCGCAGGAATCAACATCAACAGCGTCAAGATTTAATTGATTAATTATCAACACAATCTGAAGAAAAATTACAGTCGGGAAGTGCACTGTTAGTCAGCTAAAGTTTATATAACAGTAACTTACGCCATAAGAACCAGACACAGGACTAACGTTACGTGATACACAACACAACACCCGAGTTCAGCTGGCAAACTAGCTCTTGTGGCAACCTAGGCAATAAAACATAACGAAAAAAATAAAATAAAACACAACAAAACTAAGTCAGAGAAACGACTGTTTGTTAGGAAGTCTGCTTAAATTACAGCTTTTGTAAACGAAAGCTAGCTAAGACGTGTGGCAATTATTGAACTGGTCTAATTATCAACAACGGATGAATGAACAGCACCGTAAAAAATGACAAACTACTAGCTAGCGCAGCAACATACAACATAGAACGCAAACAAGTTTACAAATAAGAGATTTACTTACAAGTCCATCACAAGATTGGCAGGTCAGCATCGCAGTTACAATCCAGTGCTGCTTTTAAGCTCGCGCCAACGAGTGAAAGCCCGACCGAGTGGGACTCTTGTCCGGTTTCTAGCACGGTCCGATTCTCTTTCCCTTTTTCTGGACATTTCTGAACGAGTTTTCTTGGATGCGCGCAAGTAGCTTCACACAGTATGTCGTTGTTGATGTGTGTGACGTCGTTGCCGTAAGCATTTCGTGATTCTCGCGAGCTGTGTCAGGGGCGCCGCTCTCAAACTTGCATGGCTGGTTTTTCCGGCGGCGTCCCCCCCCAAGCTTTCCTACCAGGATGATTCGCCCTACTATGACTTTGTTAACCACCGAAACGACTTTGAAGCTGTTATATTAAGGTAAAGACCTTTCCTTTAGATGAATCGCTACTTTTAAAAAAAAGAATCGCCACTTTTTTCAAAATGAATTGCTACTTTTTCAAAAAGAATCGCTACTTTAAAAATGAATCGCTACTTTTTAAAAATGAATCACTACTTTTTTCAAAATGAATCACTACTTTTTCAAAATGAAACGCTACTTTAAAAATGAAACACTACTTTTTAAAATGAATCAGTACTTTTTTTTAAATGAATCGCTACTTTTTTAAAAATGACTCAGTACTTTTTTAAAAATGAATCGCTACTTTTTTAAAAATGAATCGCTACTTTAAAAAAATTATTCGCTCATTTTTAAAACTAATCGCTACTTTTTAAAAATGAATAGCAAAAAGAATCGCTAATTTTTAAAAATGAATCGCTACTTTTTCAAAAAGAATCACTACTTTTAAAAAATGATCATACATTTTTTTCCAGTTTTATTTGGATGTAATGTAAATATAATCTTTAATGCCTTTTAAAGAATTCTGTGCATTACATATGTATACAGGCATTATTTGACAAGATAAATCTCTAAAAAAAAATATGCACACAAAAACATGTAACACACCCACACAAAATAAATGGATAGGGGGTTAAAAGTAGACTGCATTACAGATCCATGTTCCTGTCACTGACCAACTTTTAAAATTAAAAACAGTAGAATAACTAAATCATGATAAATACATAATTAAAATAAGATTGTTATATTATAAAATAATATAAGACATTAGTCAATATATTAGTGACACCTTGGAGGCATCCCTCAAAATAAAAATCAACAGAAAGAGCAGCAGAAATAGACTCACTGTCCTAATACTGTATTGTGAGTGGAAAACGTGAATTTGCATATTAAAAATTGTAATCCAAATGTAACAGTCATTTTCAAAATCATTTGTGTTTTATAACACATTCCACACTCAACACAGAGGGCATGTTACCAACTTAAGAAATGACAAGAGAATATGTTTGTTGTTTCCCAAATAACAGAAAACATTGGGGGACACCCAAATTTACCAGTTAACAAATTTTCCAGTGGAAAAATTTAAAATAGCCCATTATTGCCATTACAGTACACTGATATTAATATATCAAGGCCAGCTTGCTACTACATCAAAAGCCTTTTAAATAGGAAACTGTGAAAACTCTAAATTCAGCTATACAGAGCAGTGAGTTTAAAACAGTTGTCTTTCGAAAAAGTATTGCATATAATATTTAATATTCACCTGACCAACAAGCCCATGTTTTTTAGTTACATTAGGGGTAGTCGTAACTATACATTTATCAATGACAGGGCAAGATTCCTGTGGATCAGTAAATGTCCGGTACTTGGGAATAATCACGGTCCCAGTAACCACTGGAGAACAGCCAGTCCTGAGAGCCATTGTGTGGATTTGGACCTTGATGAAACCACCTGTTTTGGGCAATGTGAAAAAGTTCAGATCAGCAAACAAATAAAATCACTGGTTGATTATAACAGACCGCTGTGCCACATCAAGTCTCTTGGGGTTAGTCAACTCAACAGCCAAACATAATTAAGAAAATGATTCTTTTCAGACCCCTTTTTAAAATAATCTCTTTCTTCATTTAAGAGATTCAGAGGAGCGTTTGGCTGCAACACTTAAACCGGGTGTAAAGTTTCACCCTGCCCTCGCAGTGGTAGGCCAGGGAGCTCTGTTTACATTGTCTTATTCCACATTAAAAATACATTGTCTAAGGGGACAATTCCATTGGTGTGAAGTCTCATTTACATATGATAATTTAAATAAAAAGACTATAGAAGAGACTTACTATATTATACTTATGTATAAATTTGGTGTAATACTAGTATTATACATTTTTTTGTATCACAAAATAGTCTATAACTATTTGGCCCACACACAAAACAAATGTTTTAATATAATTGTGTTGTTACAAATTGTTACAACCACAAAAACCCTAATTGAGCAGTAATTATAGACTGTGGTTACATAGATCCCCGGAGTGATTCAGGAGTGAAACAACAGCAGTTTAATGAGAAGGACAGAGCAACAAAGCTAGTGTCATACCTGGAGCCCGAGGCGACGTTTCTGTTCACCGCAGTCATGGG